CACTCTAGCCCAGGCAACAGAGTGAGACTCTGTCTCAAAAAAAAAAAAAAAAAAAAAAAAAAACTTTAGCATAGCAAAAAATCTTAAGTAAGTCAAGACAAATGAAAAACCTAGAGAAAAATCTGGAATCTATATAATAGACAAAAAGCTACTCTTTCTCTTTTATAAGGAATCCCCACAAATGTGCAAGAAAAAAACAAGTTAATTTTTAAAATGGGAAGAAAGCTTGAATGGGGATTTCAACAGAGAAGTTACTGACATATCCAATAAATACATGAAAGATACTCAGTTGTCAAAAGACATCAGGGAGTCGGAGGGGGAAAAGGGCAACATACGTAACCTAAACATCTGTACCCCCATAATATGCTGAAAAAAAAAAAGACATCAGGGAGGTGCAAATAAGCACACAATGAGGTAATACTACACATACTTGAGAATGAAAACTGAAATAATCCAAATATCATCAACAGTAGAATGGAATATTTGTAGTATTTTCATATAATAATATATTATACAATAATGGAAATAAACTACTACTACTACATGCAACAAGATGAGTGAACCTTAGAAACCTAATGCTAAAACAAGCCAGAAACGAAATACATACTGTAAAATTTCATTTGCAGACATTCAAAAACAAGCAAAACGAATGAAGACAGAAGTCAGAGTAATAGGTACTCCAGGGGACAGGGGTGGGGATAGTTACTGACTAAAAATCTTGATCTGGGTAGTGGCTATACAGGTGTATAAATATATAAAAATTCATTAAGCCCTATTGAAAAACTGTTTATTGAGCACATACTCTGTGCTAAGCACTGAGCTGGGGAATATAGCTGAAAACACGATTAACACTTGGACTTTGCTATCAAATAATTCGCAATCTTACAGAAGCCTGGGGTATATCCCAAATTTTATGAGATCAACATGATGTATAGAAATTATGCCTTCCTGAAAAATGTACTAGTTGCTGTTATCACAGAAAGGGTAAATTAAGTCAGCAAAAGTTAATCTTTAATATACTTACCCATCATAGTAAATGTCTTCCCTGAGCCAGTTTGTCCACTGTAAAAAAGAATGGTTTATATATTATTTTTACACATAAAATTTAGAAGACTACCTTCCTATTTTTACTACAGTCTATTAGTATATAAATATTCCCCACAAAAAGCTAGCTTATTTTCTATTTTTAAGTTATATTAGATAAAAAGTGAATGAGCCACCTTTTTTCCCTCCAATTCCACTACCAAGAGCTAACCATTGTTAACTGTCTGGTAAATGCTTCTACATTAATACAAACATAGCCATCAGAATTTTCATTTAATTTTTATTTACAAAAATTGGGATGATATTGCTTTGCAACCTGTTTTTCTTTAATTTTATCTCAGACATCTTTCTAAGTCAGTAAATACAGGTCTGCCTCATTATTTTTAATAGCTATAGATAGTTATATATAGTATTCCATGGATATGGAATCTTGTAGCACCATAATTTATTTAACCATAATCAATTGAACTTATGTTTCCAATTTTTGTTATACTAAAATAGTGCAATTTCTTTCCTAAATTCTTTGTCTTTGAAAGATACTATAATGTCTATAGACATTTGTCCTTGTTTAAAAATAGAGCAATAAAAAAATCCTTATGGCCGGGCGCGGTGGCTCACGCCTGTAATCCTAGCTCTCTGGGAGGCCAAGGCGGCAGGATTGCTTGAGGTCAGGAGTTCAAGACCAGCCTGAGCAAGAGCAAGACCCCATCTCTACTAAAAATAGAAAAAAAATTAGCCAATCAACTAAAAATAGAAACAAAAAATTAGAGGGGCGTGGTGGCTCATGCCTATAGTCCCAGCTACTCAGGAGGCTGAGGCGGGAGGATCACTTGAACCCAGGAGTTTGAGGTTGCTGTGAGCTAGGCTGACGCCATGGCACTCACTCTAGCCCAGGCAACAGAGTGAGACTCTGTCTCAAAAAAAAAAAAAATCCTTATGCTATAGGTTTGATTTTTGTATATAATGTCATGTCATCTCTGCTATCCCATTTAACAGAAACAAGAGTAACAAAAAAAGAAGAAAGTTGTATGTTAAAGATAGATGTCAATCAGGGTATTAAGTGACTTTAGCTTAGATTCACAGCAAAAATATAAAATTTTGAATTTACTTTTTGGTTAAACGCCCTCCAAAACTAGAAAACAGTATGGTCTAGTTGTTTACCTCTTTCTTTTGGAAGTAGAAGAAAAAAGTTCTTTACTAATGAGAAATGGATATTATTGAGTCCCCTACAAATAGGGTAATCCTATAAATTATTGTCCAAACAGGCACTTGAGTGTGAAGGGTACACTATTAACAATCACTCTACAAGTGATACTGTCCTTGGTAAACCAGAATGTATGCTCACCCAACCAATAAATCACTCACTTCTCCCAGGTGTTACTTATTTCTATCCACAACTACTGAAACCAATTTTCATTAAGTTAGTAATGAATATACGATGAATTAAACATTACAAGTAGTATGCCTACAGGGTCTTCAAAGAAAACATTTCTGAAGATATATAATCTCTGGCAATTGTGGCTATTATTTCAAATTCATTTTTGAACTTCACCACAAAATATTCTACAAAAAATATCTTTACTCTTTGTCTCACTGCTTAAGAAAGAACATTTAGTTCTGCTGACCATAAGCATAAAAAGCAAAGGCAAATTTTCACAGTGGAATATATGTGCAATATGAGCCAAGGCTTTGAACTTAATATATTTTATAATATATATTTTATATATATTGTTAAAATATTTTTATTCTTGTGTTTTTAGCAAATTATAGAACTGGGATATATGTGCAAACAGAAAGCTGCTCAAAATAATTTGTATAATTCACTATATCCTATTAAAAACCTCTAGTTCTAAATAGAATTAGAAAGCCTACTGCTGGAAGAAAAAGAAAAAAATAATTATCCTGTCATGATGCCTTCTGGACCCATAGCTGACATTCCAACATTAAACGTATAGCAATGTTTTCAGGCTGTCAACATTTAGAAAAATAGGATCATCACTCACTTTAAATATACATGATTGTGGAAATGTAAAGCACTACAGCCACTTTAGAAGACAGCTTGGCAGTTTCTTATAAAGTTAATCATAGATTTACCATACGACCCAGCAATTGCATTCCTGAGTGTTTACCCAAGTGATCTGAAAACTTATGTTCACACAAAAAGTGATATTCAAATGCCTGATTTGTTCATAATCGCTGAAAACTAGAAGCAAGATATCCTTTAATGAGTGAATGTATAAACAAACTAGGGTACATCCATACAATAAAATACTATTCAGCAAAAAAAGGGAGTAAGCTATTATCAGTGCATAAAACATAGATAAATCCTAAATGCGTTTTACTAAGAGCAAGAAGCCAGATCCAAAAGGCTACATATTGTATCATTCCATTCATATGACACTCTGGAAAAGGCAAAACTATAGGAATGGAAAATATATTGGTCTACTGGGGATGCCAGGGGTTGGAAGGAGCGGGTAGTGGTTGGCTACAAAGGGGATGGGGATGCACAGGGGATCCCTGAAAGTGAAGGGACTCTTCTCTATGGTACTTGGGACAATAAATACAGAAGGTCCCTGACATAATGACAATTCAACTTAGGACTTAAGAGTTTTTGACTTTATAATGGTACTTTCAGCTGTGTATGTTAATGATGAATACCCATACAACCATTCTGTTTTTCACTTTCTGAACAGTATTCAATAAATTACATGAGATATTCAACATTTCATTATAAAATAGGTTTTGTGTTACATTATTTTGCCCAACTGCAGCCTAATGTAAGTGTTCTAAGCAGGTTTTAGGTAGGCCAGGCTAAGCTATGATGTTCAATAGATTACATGTATTAAATGCATTTTCAAATTACAATATATTCGACTTATAGTGGGTTTATTGGGACACAATCCCATCATAAGTTAAGGAACCTCTGGTGAGCTTTAAAGTATACAAACTAAACAAACGAAACACATCAATTAGGATGTTGGGGAATCCCAGGATGGAATGCATCTAACTGCATTATATTACAAGAGCATGGTATAACTGCACTGAAGGGAGTGGGTGGGAAGGAGCTGGCCTAAGTAACTTTAGAAAATAGGTTCTGACTAGAAATTATAAGGTTAAAAAAAAAGGAACTGTACATAAGCACTGAATTCAGTAAATTTTTTTTCTCACAGGGATACAGGTAATTCTGAAACTGTTTTATATGTATACTGAGTTGAACAAGTCAGTAAATGGATGATAGATGGTAGAAGCCAGGTTTCTCATTGTTAGCAAGGAAAGTTACAGACAAATAAGAAAGGAAGGCTAGAATAATCCTGAGGTACTAGATTAGAGTCAGAGACATCAGTACGAACTCATGTTTAGCTTTATATATATATAAATGGATAGGTATACAATTATAGATATGTCTGTATACATGATTTAGTATATATACATATATTACCTAGCTCTGTCTGCTGAGGCCTAGAAGCAATGACATTCCAATAGCAACAAACACACCTAGTGCCCAGATTGTGGTTTCTAAATACCACTCTCCAATAAAAGAAGCCAGAGCTCCTTGGTGAAATGGTTGATTCTAGGCATAGGGCAGGGGAAATACAAGATGAGCCTGGAGCATCTTGTAGCATCATAAAGGAAGGAAGGAATCAAAAAAACAAAAGCATGGGATATATCGAAGAGACATAGAAACCAACCTCAAAAGACTCCCACTGACCAAAGCTAGAACAATACAAGCAACAAGATAAATAATGTAGTATTGGATTATAATCCAAAGTAAAAAATAAATACACATGAGTCCACAACATATAAATAATTGAATAAGTAAATGGGAGAACAGATCAATCTTTCTTATAGAAGAATTTCAAATATATATATAATAGATGTTCTCCTCTCCACTACCCATCTACCTTGTCAGCCAGGTGGGGCCAATCTGATCACATGAATCCTTAAAACTAGAGAACCATTTCTAACTATAGTCAGAGGGAGACATGACTAAGGAAGAGCCAGAGAGTTGCATGTTGTTGGCTTTGAAGACAGAGGAAAGGGGCTGTTAGCCAAGTAATGTGGGTGTCCTCTAGTAGCTGGAAAAGGAAAAGAAACAGATTTTCCTGTCCAGCTTCCATAAAGAAATGCATCCTGGTTGACACCTTCATTTTAGCCCAGGGAGACTCATGTTGAACTTTGGACTTACAAAACTGTAAGATAACAAAGATAATAAATTTGTGTTGATCAAGACACTAAGTTTGTGGTAATTTGTTACAACAGCAATAGGAAATTAGTATAAGCACTTACTATCATACCCTTGCGTAAGGACAGTCAACGACTTACTATGCAAAGATGGTACCATTATAACCGCTCATGCAAGATTCCACGATGTTCTTAGCCACAGTTGAGAATACAGACTCCTACAAATGTAAGCAGCAAACACGTCAACATTTCATAAAAATGAAAACATTTTTCCCAAACTACACTCTACAATATAACAATAAAAATTGAGTGCTAAGATTTTTAATCACTTGTGATAATATGAAGATTACATCCATTATAGAAAAATTGGCCGGGCGCAGTGGCTCACGCCTGTAATCCTAGCACTCTGGGAGGCCAAGGTGGGTGGATCGTTTGAGCTCAGGAGTTCAAGACCAGCCTGAGCAAGAGCGAGACCCTGTTTCTACCAAAAATAGAAAGAAATTAATTGGACAGCTAAAAATACATATAGAAAAAATTAGCCGGCTATGGTGGCACATGCCTGTAGTCCCAGCTACTTGGGAGGCTGAGGCAGTAGGATTGCTTGAGCCCAGGAGTTTGAGGTTGCTGTGAGCTAGGCTGAAGCCACGGCACTCTAGCCCGGGCAACAGAGTGAGACTCTGTCTCAAAAAAAAAAAAAAAAGAAAAATGGCTAAAACATGTAAGATGATAAAACTTTAAACACAACTATGTCCATTCATCTCCTATACAATTACAGATTTAAAGCACACATCTAAACCTTATACAGAATTTTATATAGAATACTGCATTATACTGGTATTAGCATAAAATACATAGCCCCAAATTGAGATGTGCCATAAGTATAAAATACATATCAGATTTGGAAGAGTATTAAAAAAATGGAAAATATCTCATTAATAATTTTACTTCATATTGATTACCTGTTGAAATGATATTTTGGATATATTGGATATATTAAATAAGATATATTAAAATTAATTTTATCTGTTCCTTTTTACTTTATTTTTAATGTGGCTACTAGAAAATTTTACATTATATGTGTAGCTCACTTTATATTTCTATTGGCCAGCAATGCTCCAGATGAAAAGGAAAAAGATCTAAAGATCTAAATGTCTTACCAAAAACATTCATGTGTATAGCAGGAATAATCAAGATCTGTGATGTTTAATACAGTAGCCATTAGCTACATGTGGCTATTTAAATTAATTAAAATTAAATAAGACATAAAATTAGTGCCTCAGACACACTAGCCACATTAAAAGGGCTCAATAGCCATATGTGGCTAGGGCATCTGAAGCACTGAAGTTTTAATTTTATTTCATTTTAATTAATTTAAACTTAAACAGTCACATGGGGCTACCTAGAGGCTTCAATAAAGGACAGCATAGATACGGAACATTTCTCTCATTGTAGAAAGTTCTATTGGATAGCACTAACTAGATCTCAGTTAAATTGGCCTTAATTAGAAAAGCAGTTATTAACATCATAGTAATCCTATATCCTTAAACTAGGTAATTCAGCTGCACTTATTAATCAGTCATTCAAGTGCCCCGGAAAAGTACATACTCGCTAACCTCCATCACTGAATAGAAAGGGAAAGTAAGGCAGGCTTGTGTCATTCTGGTACAAAATTTGAAGAAAGAAGAAAATCAATCAATAAAATTAGATGTAAAATCTAATAGTAGATGTATGGAATGTTTGAGCTTCCTTATCTGAGATCTACCAAACTAAAAAGAGAACAAAAATGAAATTCTTACAAATAACAAAGCCTTCCATGTTCCAAGTGAAAAGTTAAGTTTCCAGTTATCATTACCTGAGTGGTGTCCATGTTTGCAACATGATCAAACGTGAAGATCTTGGGCTCAGGATTGGAGTGCAGCCGGAGACTCACGGAGGACAGCACAGACAAGCATAAGCTTTGCTCGCCATCAGCTGACCCAGAACCCTCTGCAGGTGGACGAATTCGCACAAAAACTTTGATGGCATCACCTTCATTACTAAAGACAAAAAACATGTAACAGCTAAGTTTACTGGAGAAAAGAAAACTGAACAAGGATGTGAGTCTCACATTGCCTCTAATGTTCTATAACGAGAGTTTCCCCTACAAAGCCCAAGACCTACCCCATTTAAATTTACCTCTTTTAAAAGTCTCACACCTGGGGGTGGGGGCGGTGAAAAAAAATTAAAAAATAAATAAAAAAATAATTTTCTCACATGGCCCACACTCTTTACTGATTTACTTCACAGTAAAGGGTTGGTAAAAGGGTTGTGGCACCTTCACAATCCTTTACTTGAAAGGAACTCGAAAGGAGTTCATTTCAAGGGATTCCAAGCACTGCTCATCTCTCATTTTCCTCTTACCAGCAATAATAAAATAAGTCATTCCAAGGGAGAATTATGCTATTGATTCCATTCTTTAGCCTAGAAAGTGAGAGGGCAGGGAAGGTATGTGATTTTCCCGTATTTCCAGCTGGTCTAGGACCAAGTTAAATTTTGAAACAAGTACCCCTTACTATGTTAAATGGTTGTTTTAGAAATATTACATCCCTAATTCTTTGAGGTTCATCAATTTTTTTCTTACCTGGGCTGGTTAGGCTGATAGTTTGTCACACTGCGTAACTCAGCTAGAAAAAAAAGATAAAAATTAATTAAAATTGCAACATAGAAATGCTATTCTTCTCTAACATACTCCTCAGTTGCAGACATGCCTCAGCTTCCTCAGATCCCTGACATGAACAGTGGGGCACTCCAGAGCCCTGGCCTTGATCCTATTCTCTGTTCTATCCTAACCCATTACATTGGTGATGACATCCAGTCTCGTGGTTTTAAATGCTAAATACCTACTGATGATTGCCAAATTTAAACCTTCTCCTTGCACGGCTCTCCTGAGCCCCAAACTCTTATATCTAATTGCCTGCTTGATATCTCCAACTGGATGTCCAGTGGGCAATGTTTCAGATTTAACAGGTCCAAACCTGAGCTCCCGGTGGCCCTGCCCTCACCCTGAATGTACTTCTCTATCTCAGTTAATGACAACTCCATCTTTCCAGTTGCTTAGGCCAAAAACCATATAGTCATCCCTGACTCCATTCTTTCTCACTCTCCATATCCAACCTGTCAGAAAATCTTTGGCTCTAACTTCAAAATATATCCAGAATCCTACAACTTCTTGTCAAATCCACTGCCATCACCATGGAATCGAGTCAGCAACATCTCTTACTTGGATTATTATGACAGTCTCTCTGCTCCTCCCACCCCCATCTATTCTCAACCTAGCAGACAGAATGATTCTGTTAAAAAAAGAAGTCAGAGGTCAACGACTGGTATGACATTGTGAGGAATGCCACTGACCCACTCCCCAGTGAAACTGGTAAAATAAAAAAAAAAAAAAAAATTAAAGCCTCTGGAAATGTTCCTAAAGGCAAACAGCAAATGAAGAAATATCTATTCAAGAAAATTTATTAAAATTCAGTAAGAAAGGTGATTTTGTATTATTTGAACCAAGATCACTCTCTCCCTCCCAGCTCAGCGAGGCAGAGATTCCACTCCAGACTGAAGCAACCAAGAACACAGGGATTCCTCTTCCTTCAGGTCCTAATTAGAGGACTTTCTTCCCAGGAGTAGCAGGAAGTCAGAGTTTCTCATTCTGTCTCCAGCTAACCACCTGTTGCTGAGGTTAAGTCCCAGACAAGTTTCATTGAGAGGTGAGGGCTCCCTTTTCTGTCCCAGCCCTAATTTGTGGAACAGAGGCTCTACCTTGGCTGCTGCATGCTGAGTACACTGGGGTCCTAATTACCCTTGGCCCAGTTCATGAGGCAGTGGTTCCACACTAGGAAAGGAAAGTTGAGAAGATACCAGGCTGCTATACTCCCGCCGACCAACGAATTGCTCAGCAACTAGAATGAGGATGTCACTCAGAGACAAGACTGCCATTATCCCCATCCCCAGCATCCAGGCTCAGAGACTTTGCTTTGGGGAAGAGACAGGCCATAAACAGATAGCTTCTAATCTCTTCCCAAAGGAGCCGACTTTATTTGCAACAGAGCACAGAGAAGTTCAAATGTAAGGGCACTCTCAAGAACAGTGGAGGTTGTAGTGAAAGGTAATTATGAAGATATTCAAGATACAAGCTAAGCTGCAGGCCTGTTACTTTGCAGGAGAAAATGGGAAATAGTAAGACAGCTAGGCACAGCTAAACTGGAGTCACAACAAATATCAAACACGGACCTCAGAAACTACTATTTCAAAGGAGCAAGAATTTAATTGGAGTAGCTTGTAGGGCAATTTATGCCCCGGGGCATTGTTGAAAACAGTAGAGCAATCAGCTAGCAATTGGAGTTTAACAGCCAAGTGTGGCCAGAGAAAAAGATCCCTACCAAAATCACTGACATCCCAGGATAACTGTGGGCATATCCAAAGCTGTGCTTCCCTGAGGAGCAACATCAAAGGCTTAACACCATGGGAGAGAAACAGACCTCACTAAGTCAATCCAGCCAGTTGCTAAATAAATAAGCAAGCAAATAACAATAACAAGCCCAGAGGGTAGGCTGCCAGCTCTTCATCTCTGCAGAGATCTCTATAAGTGATCAGATGAATTTTGATCTGCACATGTATAACAACTGCACATGTGTAACAGGCCTGCAATTTAGCTTGTAAATCTAAAAGGATTCCAAAGTAAAACGTTTACTTAAATAAAGTTAATAAGCAAATAGTAACATATAATGAAATCAAAAATTACACAAAATTAGACAGTTCTGCCATGATTTCTAATTGAGATCTAAGAAAGCATCATTGAAAAGTGCTAGAACTTGAATTCACCCATCCTGGATCCAGATATCCTACTCTTAACTACCTCATTATGCAGCCTCCAAAGGTTAAAGGGAGTACAAAAGCTTATCATGTGGCTATAATTATTTTGACATTAAAAGAAAGTCCTCTGTAGACATTTAATGTAAAATTCTTTCAACTTTGAGGTTCTGTGTGCCTGCCTGAAGATATGTTGAAGACTATTCACTGTAGCTTTATTCATAATAGCCCAATCTAGAAACTCAAATGTCCATCAACAGGAGAATAAACAAATAATGATATGCTCATACAATGGAACACTACACAGCAATGAAAAAGAAGTGCTGCTACATACAACGGACAATGCTCACAGACACAGCGTTCAGTAAAAGCCAGAACATAAAAAAAGAATATATACTGTATCATTTATATGAAGTCCAAGAACACGCAAAACTAACCAGCGATGATAAAAATCAGTAATGACTGGGAGCAGGGTAGTTATTGACTGGGAAGAGTGAAAGGGAACTTTCTGGAGTACAGGAACAGTTTTTGGGCTGGTGGTTACACGAGTGTATTCATATATAAAAATTTGTTGAACAGCATTCAAGATTTGTGCCCTTTACTGCATATAAGTTATACTTCAACAAAATAGTGAATTCTAAAAATATTCTTCTTGCTTTAAAAAGACCATCAGATGCTTTACCCTGCAGTCTAGATAAATACTCATCAGTCATTTGCCCAAACATGATTAAGTTCAGAAAGGGAATTCGATCGCTTCTCGGCCTTTTGGCTAAGATCAAGTGCAGAAAGGGAATCTGTTTAAGACTGGATTTACCAGTCAATTTCATAGGGGTAACTTTTCACTTTCTTATTTCTCTGACTTCACAGTTCCCAACCCGTGGTGCCAATAGTTGTCGCTAGAGACAGCCTTCATAGGCATAAAGTAAAAGTTGCAGTGAGCTTCATCCTCCTGTGTGTTCCCACTTCATAGACCAGACCTCTGGACTTCTAGGAATGCAAGAAGCACTTACCTGGAATATCATCAACCTCAATTTTGCTAACAAACTTAAGGGAGTGGATAAATTCCCCATGGCATCACCACCATCATAAAGAGAAGCTGTGAGTATCTTTGCTCCCATCACTTTTAGAAAGGTTCTCAACTTCAGTTTACAGACTGACCAGAGCCCTTTAATAGGCAGTAACACACAAATATCACTTTCCATTAAATAAGCAGATGCTTCACTTATGTCACAGCCATCAATGATCTTTTGCTTGAGTCCAGGTTTACTGAACTTATCGATAAGGTGGAAACAAAGAACAAATACTGTGATTGTGCAGAAAGCAGGATGAATATTTCCATCTAATAATATACCAACTTGTATGCTCATAGTCCATGAATACTGAAAATGGTGAAGGAAAAAGAATATTTTAGATGGAAAAAGATAGCATAATGAGGTGTTCAGATAATGGTATGATTGACCTAAAAGGTTAATAAAACAACCCCACCAAAACAATTGCAATTGACAGAGAGCTAGAAATCTTAACGCTGTCGGAAGGTGCAAATGCCACAAGGTCACAATTTCTTCAATCATCTAACATAGGCATCTCCCCATCACTCTTCAAATCCTTCACAAAGATCCCACTAAATCAGCTTGTTAAGGACAGAAAAACAAGAGGTAATGGAATGTTAGGGACAGGAAATCAAGAGATAATGGAATGATAGGAGCAGAAAAACAAGGAGGAGGAAACAGTTAAAGAAAAACAATAAGAAGGAAATAGTTACAGAAAAATAACCAGAGGAAACAGTTATTTCAGTCTTAAAGAATTGTGTAATTAGACCATGGAACGGTGACCACCAATCAAAAAATAGACAAACACCATAAACGGTGACTTTCCCCATTACACGTATAGGAGAAGGGAATGCCTGGAACATAACCTTTAAGTTATGTCCATATCTGGAAAAATTCAGACCTCAAAACCTGTGACATATAGTCATAAGTAATTACACCTGACCTTTACATCAACATATAATACTAGCATATCAAAGGAAAAACATAGGAGACAATGTCTTCTCCACTCGTGGAGACAGATCCATTTCCCCTTAGGAAATGTACTTTCGTTTTGCACCCTTAAACTTTTCTTACAATAAATTCTTCAGGCATACTTTGCTGAGTGTGTGTCATCTCTCTCGGTCACATGGGCCAAGGCTTGCGATTCCAAGCCAGGAGCTCAAGAACTGGGGAAACACTTCGAAGTCCAGCCATGGACAGGACCATGACAAGCTCATAATCAGCTTTAAAAAACAAGACTCCTTAAGAGATTAGCCAATGTAAGTGGCACACGTACACAGAACAGCACATTTCAAGAAATTAGTGAAAATTGAAGGGTTTATCACAAGCAAAAATGACAGTGCTCTCTCCTCCGTGAAAAAAAAAAAAAAAAAGGAAGAAATTGGACAGGTCTCCTTTAGGTGAAAATAGATATTGTGAGTATATAAAGACATTACTAAAATTTGTGCTTTAAAATTCCCTTATCTACGGAGAGACTATCCAAAAGAGAAAAAGGTGTTTGGAACATAAATAAATCCTTCCCTCAGGAAGGTCAAAAATGTGTAAAAATGCAGGTGGTGGTGAGGGCAAGGGCGGATCCTCAGGCAAGGCTACTTACTGAGGTAGCCCTGATCGGGACATGGTAAGAGGCGAGCGAAGAAACGGAAGAACCGAGAGAACAAAAGCAAGAACGGCAGGTTCACTGCTCATCCCAAGAGCCTAAAACTGCGCCAGGCTGCTAGCCTGCACGCAATGCACAGAAGAAAGGGATGAAAGCCCTTCCACCAGCGTATTGTCTCTGAGGGACAGAGATTCCAAACGCTCCTGCCGCCCGGTCAGTTCCTGCCCTTCACACCCAGTAAGGAACCCTGCGGGCGACCGAGGACTGTCGTCCTGTCACAGCTATATTGGCGGGGAGGACGGCGTCTCGAAGTCGGGACTCTTGACTTACTTTTGCAGCCGGGTGCCATAGCGCCCTCACCTCTCGATCCCGAGACCGATGGTACGGATGGTACGGATGCCCCCACCTCCAGGCGCGCCGCGCCACGGGATCCGGCCCGCTCAAGATGGCCGCGAATTTGAATTTGGCGCTGGGACCAAACGTTGACGCCAGCACGGAGGCCGCCATGTTGCCCGGACTGCGCATCAGGGGCGTGGTCCCGGTGACGACACTAGTAAGCGCCATCGCCTCTGTACTCTCAGTGTCGGCCAGGGAGCTTGTCTTTTCAGTGCTGTCATGAGCAAGCGGAACCAGGTGTCGTACGTGCGGCCAGCCGAGCCGGCGTTTCTGGCCCGCTTCAAGGAGCGGGTCGGCTTCAGGGAAGGGCCCACCGTAGAGACCAAGGTGAGCCCGGGGTGGTCGCGTTACTTCAGAAACGCGACCCGCCACTTCCGGCTTCTGCCTTGACCTGGAAGCCAGGTACCGACGCTCCTGGCCCCCGATTGGCACGGAGCGCTGACTCCAAGCTGGTCCTTTGCAAGCGACTACAGCCTCTTACGCCCAGGAATCTCGCTCTGTGTCGTTTATCAGAGCGCTGCTGGGTTTTTGAAAATGACCTGATGTAGGTAAAGCGTCTCGTCTCTGGTAAATGGTAAAGAAAGATAACTTTCTTCTCTGTTCTTTCCACTTGCTTTTCTTGAAACCTGTGAGTTAGCAGGGTAAGTGGTAGCTACGTCCTGCTTTCTAGATAAAGAAACAGGCCGCTCGATCAAATGACCCAGTGTCCTAGGACTGGAGTCTGGAACGTCTTTGGCGGAATGTCTGGATCTATTTCTATGCTTTGTTTTTACGAAAAAAGCAAGCAAAGAAGACAAAGAGTAGGCAGAAGACTTAAATATCTTGGTTATGAATAGAACAGGAACTTCAGGAAAGATCCAGAACCTGATTACTGTAGTCTGGGGACTGGGAATCAATGGGAGTCAACTTCTGAGCCTCCTAGGCTTCAGCCCTAACTGGTTCACACCAAAATTTGCCATACCTCTTTCAATAGGAACAGACCATTATGTTTAAATGATGTGTGGAGAAATATATTTAGCACTCTGTCTAGTACTTGCAGTAAGACCTACCACTCAAGTCACTCAGAGCTTAGTAAAAGAGACAAGATTGACTTACATGAAATTATTCAGTGCATGCATACCTTGTTTTATTGTGCTTTTGCTTTACTGAGCTTTGCAGATATTGCATTTTTAATGAGTTGAAGGTTTGTGGCAATCCTGCTTCATCAAGTCCATTGGCACCATTTTTCCAACAGCATGTGCTCACTTCTTGGCTCTGTGTCACATTGGTAATCGTCACAATATTTCAGACTTTTTCATTATTATCTGTTATGGTGATCTGTGATCTCTGATGTTACTATTCTGATTGTTTTGAGGTGCCATGAACCACACCCATATGATATAGTGAACTTAATTGATAAATGTTGTGTATTCTTACTGCTCCACCAACCAGCCATTCCCTTGTCTCTCTTCCTCTCCTCGTGTCTATTCCCTAAGACACAACAATATTGAAATTAGGCTAATTAACCCTACAGTGGCTTCTAAATATTCAAGTGGAAAGAAGAGTCCCATGTCTCTCACTTTAAATCAAAGGCTAGAAATGATTAGGCTTAGTGAGGAAGGCATGTCAAAGGCCAAGAGAGACCAAAAGCCAGGCCAATTGTGCCAAACAGCCAAGTTGTGAATGCAAAGGAAAAGTTCTTAAAGGAAATCAGAAGTGCTACTCCAGTGAATACACAAATGATAAGAAAGTGAAACAGCCTTATTGTAGATAGGGAAAAATAGTAGTTTGGATAGAAGATCAAACCAGCTACCACATTCCCTTAAGCCAAAGCCTAATCCACAGCAAGGTACTAACTGTCTTCAATTCTATGAAGTCTGAGAGAGGTGAAGAAGCTGCATGAGAAAAAGCTAGCAGAGGTTGGTTCATGAGGTTTAAGGAAAGAAGCTGGATTCCATAACATAAAAGTGCAAGGTGAAGCAATAAGTGCTGATGGAGAAGCTGCTGCAAGTTATCCAGAAGCTCTAGCTAAGATAATCAATGAAGGTGGCTATACAAAACAATAGATTTTCAATGTAGACAAAATAGCCTTATGTTGGAAGAAGATGCCCTCTAGGACATCTTCCCTGCTAGAGAAGAGAAGTCAATGCCTGGCTTCAAAGCTTCAAAGAACAGACTGACTTTTGTTAGGGACTAATGCAGCTGGTGACTAATGCAGCTGAAGCCAATGCTCATTTACCATTCTGAAAATTGTAGGGCCCTTCAGAATTATGCTAAATCTACTCTGTGCTTTGTAAATGGAAAAACAAAGCCTGGATGACAGCACATATGTTTATAGTATGATTTACTGAATATTTTAGCACCACCGTTGAGACCTCAGAAAAAAAGATTCCTTTCAAAATATTACTGCTCATTGACAATGCACCTGGTCACCCAAAAGCTCCCATGGAGTTGTACAAGGAGGTGAATGTTGTTTTTATGCCTGCTAACACAACATCCATTCTATAGCCCATGGATCAAGGAGTAATTTCTACTTTCACGTCTTGTTTAAGGAATACATTTCATAAGCTATAGCTGCCATACATAGTGATTCCTCTGATGGATCTGGGCAAAGTAAATTGAAAACTTTCTGGGAAGGATTCACCGTTCTAGATGCCATGAAGAATGTTTGTGGTTGATGGGAGGAGGTCAAAATATCAACATTACTTGGAGTTTGGAAGAAGTTGATTCCAACCCTGATAGATGATTTTGAGGGATTGAGCCTTCAGTGGAAGAAGTAACTGCAGATGTGGTACCAATAGCAAAAGAACTAGAATTAGAAGTGGAGCCTGAATATGTGGCTGAATTGCTGCAATCTCATGATCAAACCTGAATGGATGAGGAGTTGCTTCTGTAAACATCATTTTCTTTTTATTTTTTCTTCCTGCCCCCAATTCTTTCATTCTGTGAACATTGTTGAAATGACAACAAAAGACTTAGTTCTTTCTACAGAAAAGTTTGGGCTAAGAAAAAAGATTTAAAAAAAAAAAGACTTAAACTAGTACATAAACTTAGTTGATAAAGCAGCAGCAGGGTTTGAGAGAACTGACTTCAATTTTTAAAGAAGTTCTACTATGGGTAAAATGCTATCAAACAGCATCACATGCAACAGAGAAATCTTTTACTAAAGGAAGAGACAATAGATGGGGCAAACTTTATTGTTGTCTTATTTTAAGAAATTGGGCCGGGCGTGGTGGCTCACACTTGTAATCCCAGCACTCTGGGCGGCCGAGGTGGGAGGATCGCTTGATGTCAGGGGTTGGAGACCAGCCTGAGCAAGAGTGAGACCCCATCTCTACTAAAAATAGAAAAATTAGCCGGGCATTGCGGCACACTCCTGTAGTCCCAGCTACTGAGGCTGAGGCAGGTGGATTGCTTAAGCCCAGGAGTTTGAGGTTGCTGTGAACTAGGCTGATGCCACGGCACTCTAGCCCCAGCCACGGAGCAAGACTCTGTCTCAGAAAAAAAAAAAAAGATATTGCCACAGCCATCCCACCCTTCAGCAACCACCATCCTGATCAGTTAGCAGCCATCAATATCAAGGCAAGGCCCTCCACTAGCAAAACAAGTCCAACTCAGTGAAAGCTCAGATGATCCTTAGCATTTTTAATCAATAAAGAATTTTTAAATTAAGGTATGTACATTGTTTTTTAGATATAATGTTATTGCATACTTAATAGACTACAGTATGGTATAAACATAACTTTTATGTGCACTGGGAAGGCAAAAAAATTGTGTGACTCACTTTATTTTGATATTTGCTCTATTGAGGTGGTCTAGAACCAAACCCACAGTATCTTCAAGGTACACCAGTACAGCGAGTATGATGTACTAATTCCAGGCACTGTGCCAGGCTCTGAAAGGACAAAGAGATAGATCTCCAAAATGTCATGTTCTTTAACACCTTCCTGCCCTGCCTCTTCTCTGATTTCACAGGTCACCACCTCTCTGAACCCCTTTGAAGCTCCCCAGTTACTCCTCTGTTGAACTCTTTAAGCTGGGACTACAGGCGTACGCCACCATGCCCGGCTAATTTTTTCTATATATTTTTAGTTGTCTGATTAATTTCTTTCTATGTTTTTTAGAGACGGGGTCTCTTGCTCAAGCTGGTCTCGAATTCCTGAGCTTAAGTGATCCTCCTGCCTTGGCCTCCAAGAGTGCTAGGATTACAGGCGTGAGCCACCCCCCCAGTTTTCCCAGCACCTAACACAGTGCCTGGCACTAAGCACTGGGTGACAGTTATATTGGTTGGATGACTATGCTTGTCTGTGCAAGGATTCATGGAGGAGGAGATACTTAGATTTGAGTCTTGAGCATGGGTAGGTCAGCAGGTAGAGATGGAGGGAACAGCATGGGTAAAGGTGTCAAGATGGGAGTCATGGACTATGTGTAGAAGTGATAGAAGGACCAGTAGAGATGAGGCCATAGATGGCTACTCAGTAGGTAAGAAGGAGCCATTTTTCCTAGAGGTAACACAATCAGGGAGTGACTGTCCCCCATGACCAAAAATAGTGATAATGACAAAGAGGATGAGGTTTGAGAAAAGGGTCATGTATTCAGCAATGAGGAGAATATGAGGCCTAACTTTGCTTGAGGTTCTGGTGATGATCATATGCACATAGTTGACACCTTGAGAATTATAGCTTATAGTGCCATCTTAGGAGAACTCAGAGAAAGCTTTCCAGCTAATATCAGAGATTCTGGCTTATTTATTTAATCAAGAGAGTTTTCCTTAGAGAGGTACCCCATGTTCCAGTTTGAGAGACCCACTTCATTCTTAATCAGTTCAGCAATATACAGTATCGACCCTTACCCACAGGGTATAGGTTCCAAGACCACCTATAGATGCCTGAAACCACAGATAGTACCAAACCCTATATATATTGTTTTTTTCTATACATACATACCTATGATAAAGTTTAATTTATAAATTAGACATCGTAAAAGATCAACAAAAATAACTAATAATAAAATAGAATGATTATAACAATATACTTTAAAAAAAAAGTTATGTGAACCTGCTGTCTCTCTAAATATTGTACTTACCCTTCTTTCAGACTGAAGTGGACTGCAGGCAACTAAAACCATGGAGAGCAAAACCGAGGATAAGGGGGGATTACTGTAATCAGCATTTTAGTGATCTATTAACAAAAAAGAGTTTCATGGGAAATCATATAATTAAGCTCATCTCATTCGCCTTCTTGATAGTTAATTCATGAATGACTTTGAACAGTCCTCAGTGGCTACTGCCACTGTCCCTAGACTGCTTCTCTTGTTTTCCAGCTAGTCACATAAAAAAAGAAAAAAAGAGAAGAGAGTCAGAATTAATGATTCTTAACCTAATGAACACCAGGAATGATTATATTTCACTTTACCATATCCTTGGCTAAAAATAATTATTAATTACCTAAAAATACTTACTAATTATTGTTTGTGGTCATTTATTGGAAAATTTCAGAGAAAAATTGGCAGAAACTGATGAACTAACAGTGAACTAACATGGATATCATTAAAGAGAATTCACTTGTTGAGTGATAGAGCAGACTTGGGAACTGGAGATGTAGACAAAATGGATGAATGTGCTTGTGAGTAACTTGCCAAGGCCTCAGGTAGTTCATCCTCTTTCATCCTGTTGGTCTTTCATGAGTTGATCAACAAATAATTTTTGAGTCCCTGATACTTTCTAGGTTCTGCACCTTTAGATACAGAGATGAAACACATAGTACCTCTCTAAAAGGAGCTTGCCTAATGGTGACAAACAGAAAAGCATTGAGATGGCAGTGTAATACGTGCTCCCTGTGAGAGTAAGAAAGAAGAGGAGGTGAAATTAAGCACTTCTTTCTAGAGGATCTAAGTCTTGAAGGCAGCGTAAGTAGGAGTTGGCCAGGGCCAATGGGGCTTTCTAGGCACTGGGAACTTGTTCAGAGACGGGGAAGACAAAGGAGCTGATGTGCTGTTCATTGATCTCCAAGTACTCAAACCCGGCTGGATTGTAGACACCATGAGAGAGTGATAGGGGATAAAGCAGTGGTTATAGGCTGAGGCCAGGTCATGCAGGGCTTTATTTACAGGGTAGTGCTCAAAGAAATTATTAAATAACCTTCTGTATAATTAAATATAAGGCAGTGATTTTTAAAAATCAGATAATTTTATATGTATCTCAGAGTACTGTACAAAGCTATTTTTAAGTACAAAATTTGGCAGAGTGGGACTTTATGGTGCCTGACATTTTAAAAAAATCTGAAATCAACTGGCAAAATGTTACCATTCGTTACATGTATACAGTGAGTAGTATGTGGCTTCTGTTATCCTCTGCAATTTATGCTTGAGAAATTTCATAATTTGAACTCACAAAAAAGAATCCAAGTCATAGAGTAATATGTACAGTATTTTGTAAACAAAATGTTTCCTATACCTACACATTTGTATACACTTGGAAAATAGCTGATAGGCTATCCACCAAACTGAAGCTGTTAGAAGGGAGAAGTGATGAGCAGAGGTGAGAGAACGAGTACCTTTTACTTCCTTCTTTCTGTATTTTGGTGGTGTTTGAGGTCAGCAGTCCCAGACTGGTACAGCAGCTCAAGGAATGCCAGCAAGGATCCAAGCTCCTTGAGTCTTTCCACTTATACCACCCAAAGCAGGTGGCTGCCTTTCTTATGCCTAAAAATAGCTCTGGTCCTCAGGTTTCACGTCTGCACTCCAGCAGGATAAAGGGATACAGGCAAAGGCTTATGCTTGCCACATCTGTCCTTTTGCATCTTTGAGAAGAAGGTGAAAAGTGTCGATGAGCAATGAGAACCAACGTGGTTCAGTGCTGCCCTGAGTAGGCTAAGAATGACAGCAGTAGCCAAAGCAGAGGGCCCCAGATACTAGCAACTGCAAGCGAGGCCCTACGGAGATAGAAGCAAGTTCCACTGGACAGGCACCCCAGCATGACGGGCAGGCAGACCTGTTTCCTCACATGGTAAGTTTAGTCTCTTTGGAGTTACTTAAAAATTCATGGCCAAACACTTTTAGTTAATAAAGTTACCCTTCTCATTTCAATGATACGGTTTCTCACAGAGGCAGTGGTTGTATTTCATTCAAAGTCAGTGCCCTAACATCATATTTGTGTCTTCCCCTAGAGAATCCAGCCTCCGCTCCCAGATGAAGATGGTGATTACAGTGACAAAGAAGATGAACAGCCCCAAGTCGTGGTGGTTAAAAAAGGAGATCTGTCAGCTGAAGAAGTCATGAAAATTAAAGCAGAAATAAAGGCTGCCAAAGCAGGTATACTTGAAAGTAATGTGGTTTTTCTAACAATTTAAGGAGGCTGGAGTATGAAGTTGTTTTATTTTATGTACTAGTATGGTATGTTTGAAGGAGACATTTCTAGGTTCAGGGCTTGGCTTTGACACTTACCATATATGTAACCTTGAGCAAGTTATTTCATTTCTCAGTGCTAATTTCCTCATCAAAAAAATAGGGACGGCCGGGCGCGGTGGCTCACGCCTGTAATCCTAGCACTCTGGGAGGCCGAGGCGGGCGGATTGTTTGAGCTCAGGAGTTCGAGACCAGCCTGAGCAAGAGCGAGACCCCGTCTCTACTAAAAATAGAAAGAAATTAATCGGACTACTAAAAATATATACAAAAAGTTAGCCGGGCATGGTGGCGCATGCCTGTAGTCCCAGCTACTCAGGAGGCTGAGGCAGAAGGATCACTTGAGCCCAGGAGTTTGAGGTTGCTGTGAGCTAGGATGACGCCACGGCACTCTAGCCCGGGCAACACAGTGAGACTCTGTCTCAAAAAAAAAAAAAAAAAATGGGGACAATAATTGTACCTACCTTATTAGATTGTTATGAGGATTAAGTGTTAATTTGAGTAAAAATATCCAGTTTTTAAAAAAATAAGTGGTTAGGTTTATAACCAGTCAATAAAGGTCTATTTAATTAGTGCCTGAAGTGTGTGGTATGCTACACATTTATTACATTATTTTAGGGAAAAATACTGCAGTTCCAAACAATCACTTTTGAAAGTACTTAAAAATACAACCCAACTGTAATTAATTAGGACTGGCAGTATTATGGAATACTTCAGTAAGTGAGTTTTTATTGAGTGACTGCCTATAGGGCCTTATAGGGCCTATAGCTAGAGGCAGTGCAGAAGACCAGACTGAATTGACTTGAGGATATCCTTAAATATGAGATTTTCTTGCCATTTGACTCTCTGATAAAGGCAAAATAATGAGGAGAGAAGAATGTTATTAAAAATTTGTTTTTGCTCAGAGGAAGAACCAGCTCCAGCTGATGGAAGAATCATGTATCGAAAACCAGTCAAACGTCCCTCAGATGAAAAATATTCAGGTTTAACAGCAAGCTCAAAAAAGAAAAAGCCAAATGAAGATGAAATAAATCGGGACTCAGTTAAAAAGAACTCACAAAAACAAATTAAAAACAGTAGCCTCCTTTCTTTTGACAATGAAGATGAAAATGAGTAAGTATAAACATTTTGGACATAGTCTCCCTGGAAAATATATGGGGTGTTTTTTAAAATAACATTTTTTTCCTAATTATAAGGAGTTCATTATAGAAGATTTAGAAAATACAGGAAAAAGTTTAATAATAGGCACTGGGAACTTGTTCAGAGACGGGGAAGACAAAGGAGCTGATGTGCTGTTCATTGATCTCCAAGTACTCAAACCCGGCTGGATTGTAGAC